CAGGCAGGGGTATCTAGAGAATTGTTATTGTTGTTAAGTGCCTTCGAATCAGTTCTGACTCATTGTAACCCTGTAGAGGGTTCCCAAGAAATGGCTGTCAAGCTTGAACTGCCAACCTTGTGGTTCAAACCAACCTTGCAGTCCAGTGCATTAACCCACAATGCCATACCAGGACATCTAGAGAATTGTTACTGTTGTTAAGTGCCATCAAGTCAGTTCCAACCCATAACTGGTATAGGCTAAGCTATTTGTCTCTAGTAAAACCTTACTCAGGCACCCTTCATTTTAGTATGTTTCACAGGGTTTGTGAAACTATCTTATGTATAGCTCTAGAATATGACAAAGAATTTTTGTAGGTTTATAGTTTAGGAGTTAGTTGCATTTATGAGATCAATTTGTAGCAGTTTCTGAGGATTTGAAGCTTATGAAGATGTTCATCATTTACCCAATCTGTAACTATTTAATGAGAATTTAATGCCAATATATGGGGATATATGTGAATAAATATCTAGTTTGGAGGCAGATAAATGCAATAATTTCAGAGTAGTGATAAACCCTGGGAGGAAAATAAAAGTAATGTGATAGAGTAGGCACATGGAGTGACACTATTTTAGATTGAGTACTTGAGGATAGGAGACAATTGAGATGAGACCTAATTTCTTAATCTCAACAACAAAAAAAATTGTCAATCAGCTGTTCTGGTAAGGATTTTTACCTTAAGAAATCAATCATAAGTTGTTAGAGTATGTGTCAAAAATAGTTTATTGTCATAGATGAAAATGACCTTTAGCCTAACAGTTTTTTCCCCTAGAAATTCTAATACAACAATGCATTCTTAATTTAAGTTTATTTCTGAAAGTATATCATTCTTGGAGAGCCTCTGGATAACTTCCTAGCATGTAATGCAATGCTGCCCTCTAGTGGTAAACAGCTTAGTAGTATGTCAGGTTTACTGGAAACTTTGTGAATAGTAGTGAAACAGTGTCAGAATAGCACCAGATTATTGTCATATACAGTGCCGGAAGATGAGCCCCTCAGGTTGGAAGACATTCAGAATATGATGCATTGGCACAGTGGCAGCAGCAGTGGACTCAAACTTAACAACAATTGTGAGGCTGACACAGGATCAGGCAAGGTTTCGTTCTGTTGTATATAAGGTTGCTATGAGTTTGAATCAACTCAACAGCACCTAACAACAACAGTAACATTTCAAGGGCATATTCTTTGTTTATTGTTGTTGTTAAGTACCATCGAGTTAGTTCCAACTCATAGCAATTTTGTATAGGGTTTCCAAGGAGCAGCTGTTGTGTTTGAACCACTGATCTTGTGGTTAGCAGTCCATTATGATGACTACGTTATTTGTTTAGCAGGACTGATTTCTTTCTTTCTTTCTTTTTTTTTTTTTTTAAACACTTAGGCATATATAATAATTTAAACCACCAAAGGGAACATTCTTCAAGACTGCCTCCTGACAGCCAGCTCTCATCCCTCTCTTTCCATAAATCTAAAGTCCTCAGCTGCTCCCTCTCTCCCTGTTCCTCCATCTCTGCCTCCATCTCTGATGGCACTGCTCCTCTGGATAAGGTCCCGCATTCTGCTTGTACTCTTCTCCCTTGATGGTCTTAGGGTCCTGTGTTTCTGGACTGTAAGAGTAATTGCTCCCCCATTTTTGTTATAAAACTTCTACCTTTACAATTGTGACAGTCAGAATTAGTCACGATAACAGTTACTCACTATTGAATCATAAAAATCTTACCACCATCTTTTTTCATCAGACCTGTCTAGACAAGATGAAAACTATTCAGTGGGGACTCTTATCTTCCCCCACACACTCTTAAATTAAACTCCCTCTTGTAAACTAGTCACTTTGTGCATTTATCGCCCCCTCATTTTAGGTAGCTAATGTGTAAGTGGCCCGTAGGACTGATTTTTTAAGAAGAAAAACATTAATGTCATATTTGGATTGTGTTTGAATTACAAAAATCTCTATGATAGGAATTCATTTAAAAATATTCTATTTACTCTCAGATAAAATGCTTGGTATGATTTTCTGTAGCCAGTAACACTTGTGCAGTTGAATAGCAGTTTACATAATTAAATCAGAATTCAAGTCTCAGAACTGAACACAGCTTAATAGTTTAAAAAAAAAAAAAATCACAAAAGGTGAGTTGCTAATACAAGCAAAGAAAGTCCAGGACTTTAGCTGGTTGCTTAGAACATGTATTACATTAAATTCTACATTTCTGAGGGTTTGTTACCCAGAAAGCACCTATTGAGTACAAATTTTTTAAAATTATATCCATTGGAACCTGAAAAGATAAATCACAGTATTTAGGAAAAGTGAACATTATTAACAGATCTTTATATTTTAAAAATCATTTGAAATATGACCATACTCTTTAATTTATTATTCTGAATATTTGCCAGCGTTTTCTAAACACCAATTTATTATGTTTTGTTTTTGCTATATGGACATTTTCTGATTCTACAATTAAGTCTTTCTCTCTGTTTGAAGAGTTGGTTTGGATCTGTTAGGGAACGATAACGTGGATGGTTTTTGTGGGGGGTTTTCTTTCTGTTTTAGAATGTTTATTTAAATGAGACTTAAGAAAATGAGAAAGTATTAATTGGCTGGGAGTTAAAAATAAATTTCACTGAGTTTTCTAAATCCAGTAAAAGAATCTGGAGTCTTTGGATCTTACAGTAGTAGTTCTCCTTTAACTCTCAACTAAATAGTTTAGTTCTTTCTGGTAGTGTCACTTTAATGAGAGTAAAATTCATAAATATTTATAATTGCACATATTTTTAGTTGAATCTCTATCAGTTATATTAAAATTTTTAATTTTTATTGTGAATTGATAGTTTACATGGGAGAGCATCAGTTTTACATTCATTGTTTCATTGCAATGATTATAATCTCCTGTGCATCATCATTCAACAGTATTTGCTTCTATTCCCTCTGTTTTGTTGTTGTTGTTGTTTTTTGGGGGGAGGGATGTACAAAAAACCACTCAGGAATATATAATCATTTAAACAACCAAAGGACACATTCTGCCAGCCTGCGCCTGGCCACCAGCACCTGACTGCCAGCACACAGCCTTTCTCTTTCCATGAGTCTAGAGTCCTCAGCTGCTCTCTCTCTCTCCATGCTCTCATCTCTGCCTTGATATTAAAAATTTAATCACATTTTATGGTCTAGTCATTAAGTGGTTTTGAATGCCACATCAAAATAACTGAAGCTATTAAGGTTGACTCTAACTCTTAGCAACCCTATAGGACAGGGTAGACTAGCCCATTGGACTTCCAAGGCTGTCTGTCATTCTTTACATAAACAGACTGCCGCATCTTTTTCCTGTAGTGCAGTTGGTAGATTCAGACTTCCAGTCTTTTGGAACTTAATAACTGTATCACCAATGCCAGTGACTGTTGCATTGTGCTTTCATAATCATAACATAGACCATAAATGATCTAAAATTATTTTTGACTGAAAGTAATGTGGTTGAAGAAAGTGTGCAATTTAACTGGATAGGGTTGAATTTCTGTTAGATTTGTTTCTCAGCAAGCTATAAGACAAATGTGGCAGTTAGTTCATCTTCTATAATCTTTTTCTTAGTATGACACCTGAAGCTGTTTAGTCACTTTAATACTTAGCTTGGAAATGTTGAGTTAGTGTCCTTTTATAAATGTGGGTTGATATGTTTCAGGAACATCCTCATAGGTCATATGCACAATCTTTTTGTTGGTAACATTTTGATGATAGAACCACCATATATGTAAATATGCCTTACTTTTATTACACATAAGCAAACACAGATACACATGCAGATTTCAATGGGTTGTCAACCATGCCTATGCCAAAATTAAAGTCAGCCTCCAAGAATTGAAGGTGAACATTTCTTCTTTTTTTTTTTTCCCTCTTTTTAAAAGAGTAGTTCACTATATGTTGTAGGCCATTTAGGATTTTCTGATAGACTGATTTTCTGACTTTATTTTGAGTGTGGATATGGATAAAAACCATTCCTTTTCAGAAGGAGTACTAGCCTTTTAGGAGATATACTTACTGGCATATTTGTGGTGGTGGGTTGGAGGAGCAGATCTGTGATTCTCATCTTACTCTTTCAGCTTTTACCAGCCTCAGCACTGTTCTACAGCAACTATGACGTGTTAACATCTTCTTTTGACTGGGAGGATTTATGACTGTGCTAAAATCTAGTTCTCTTCAAGTAACATAGTTAGATTTTTTTCACCTCAGAATAAAATCACGACTGTATTCCCTTCATAAATTATAAAACTGGATCTTCTAGCCTTTATTATGCTATTTTAAATATTATTCACAGTTTTTACCTTAACTAAAATAACATAATAAGGTTGAGAAACTTCCCATAAAGAATTAAAAAGGGCTGTTTTGACATTCTTATTCTATTAAACATATTTAATCTCTTCACGTTTGTTATTATGATTGGAAAATGCTTGTTGAGGAGTGTAATTTGGATTTCTCTTTTCATTTTGGAATCTAAATGGATTCTTAGTTAAAATAAAACCCTCAATGTTAGGATCATTATTGCTTTTCTAACAATGTCTTTGACAATCATACATTAATATCAGGGAGAAGGGAAGAGAATATATAAGGTAAATTTTATAAAAGCATGCCACTTGCCGAGGCTGAGGAGCATCCTCAGTAGCATGTGGTAGGTCAGTCAGGATTCTGAACTCTTTAGCTCCTCAGTTTAGTCTTGATGCAAAGCTCTTTAATTTAGTGGCTTTTTTTTTGTCTGCTGCACAGATTGTCTTGCTATTCCTAAAAGGCATGTTGATGAAACATGATAGTAATAACTCTGGCATAGTTTCACTAATATGTACGCTTAATTGGCATGTTCACAGTTTATCTTGCACTAGCCTGTTGCTTTTTATGACCATTGGAATTAATGTGATAGATTCAGCCATACTTTGTGACATTTTAGTATTTTTATAATAAAAGGAGTATTTCCCTCCATCTACAGGTGCTGCTGTTTTTTCAAACGAAGGAAAAGAAAAACTATTCAGCGCCACAAATGACTCTGGACACAGACAGATCATGGAGAGTTACTTATGTGTTCATCTGCTGTCTTGTGATTAAAATCATCTCTGTAGTGACCATATGTATTTTCAAGGACTTCTCTTGGAAATGGTCATTATCTTCATACTTCATTTTGTGATTGTCTTACAGTCATATTTTTTTCTAATTTAACTTTTATGGAAGCTTTAAAGTTTTGTCAAAACATGAGTGCTTTGCCCATCAATGAAGGGAATGGACCAATGAGGTGGTATTCATGAATGCAGTTCTATAAAACGGTTTCAGAAGCTCTTCTTCTGTTGTAGAAAACAGTACAGTATCTTACATGTCAACCAGTTTTATACCTAACCTGTTTTTTTTTTTTAATATAAGTTCTGCAAGAGTATAATCAAACTGGAATTTTTCTCCCTAGTGCAAAAGTGAAACAGAGTTGCCCAAATGTTTAAAACAAGTTCTTCCTTGAGAAATTCATATTTTGTGTTTGACATCTGCATTGGTTTCAGTATTACTGATGGTACTGCTAGTCATGAGTCATATTAACATTCTCTATGAAATCATGGTACAGTCACTGCCCAGAGGTACTGAGGAAACAGCTCCATTGGTTCTACAGAAGTTGGTGGTAGTCAAATGAATCACAAGCCATGTGGTAAATAGGAGTTCTGCTTTTGTTGCACCACTATGTGAAGTGCAGTGTTGCAGACGTGGCAAAAGCGCTTATTAAAAAATGTAAATTATTTGTATAATGTAGCTTTATGTTTCCAGGTAATAATGTATGCTAGACAGCAGGAAATGAATACTTTGATAAATGAGATACGTTGGAGAGTTTTAAAAAAAATACACTAAGGAGAAGTAATGAATGTGAATCTCATTAAAATTCATCAAGGTTGAAGTCTAAGATGACCCCATGGAAACCTACTGCTGAATGATTACATTCTGCCTTAAGCAGAAAATTTCGGATGTGCCATGCAATGGTGTTCTGTTTATTAATTATTTTGCTCTTTGATAAAAAATAAAGACCTCCCCCCAGCAATAAAAATTGGGTCACTCTGTTGCCCTCTGTGCACATTAGTCTCTTGTTTCAACTTTGCTGGTTCTCTGGAATTTTCCGATTACTTAGCATGATTGTGATGATTGAAAACTGTTTTGAGAGGATGGGTCAGGTGCTTTGCCTCCATAGTCTTTTGAAGTGCCTGCATATGAACAAAGTAATGGTTTCACAAAAACAGAAACCCATTCCACTTTTCAAGTATGCCTTGTTTTTAAGCCATAAAAACATGGTGTACTTTAGTTACATGCTACTAGCTAGGATTTTCAAGAAGGGTTAAAGCAAAATGACTGACTAGAAAGATGATTATATTGTTTAAATCTCACACTCCCCTTTCCTTTATAAAACTGTCACCTGTTTCCTCCATTCAGTCTCTTTGTTGTGTTTTTATGTATGCCGCCAGGCATGCTTATTTATTTTTCTGTCTCAAGGTAACATTTGAGATGTGTATTAAAGTAAATAATTCCACGGTTTTGGCTTCATTATTGCATTTACAGGGATTTAATTGTATTTTGTAATTTATTATTTTTTATTAGCCAAAACTTCAATGCATTGTTTTGATGAATTAGGTATCCATATGAACAACACAAATCTGGGCATTGTTTATCAAATATTGGTATGAATCCTATGAATGATCTTTTAAAATTCTTGATTTTAATGACCTGGGAAACATTTGCTGTATAATTTGGTCAACAGTTTCCATTCTATCTATTTGTATACTGTCAGGAGCTATACACTTTGAGTTTTTGTTTTTGTTTGCTTTAAGCAAGGTAGATGGTTGTTTTGGCCATTATAATGTGAAACCACTTCTTTCTTTACAGTATTTGACCAAATTTGTGTCTATGATATTTGTAAATACATGCAATATCTGTATTTCTTATCATAAGCCTATTTAGTTTTACTCTTAGTAGAGATTTTTGGACTGTACAGTGTTTATATGATCTGAATTCCTTATACATAAGAAGGTGTGTATATTAATCCAATTATGGACTTTAAATATTTTAAAAGTATAAATACCCTTATTTGCTGCAAAGACCAGTATGTAGACATTTGCTTTTTAGCAATATTTTTAAGTGCTCCATTTGAATGCCAAGGAATAAGTCTTTTGGCAACACAAACTGGTCAATAATAGGTAATGCAGGTATGTTCAGGTTAAGCCAACAATGTTTTGCATTTATATGCTTTTTTTCTGTCAACACTAATGAAGTCAACATTGCCTGAATGTCTGAATAATGAAACACATCCCTGTTTAAAAGTATGTAACTGAAAAAGAAATAAAAATAAAGGTAGTTTTTTTAAACTTGTTTTTTTTTTCCCTTTTCCTCTAATCATGGGTAAAATAATGTCACTCCTTAATTTCAGATAGAAATTAAAGCATTTAATTAATTCACTCAGTCATATGTGAGAAGTAAAATTAAATATGCTTTTGTTATTTTGTTGCTTAGTTGGAACCCAGTCCATACCAGCAAAGATCTGAGTATTCTTTAATGGAGGTTTTGCTATTATTTTAAATTGCATTTCTCTGAACTGTTGAAAAGAGCAATTGATGAAAGCTAATGTCTTCTGATTAAACTAAGGGAAATAAACAGAATCATTTTATTATTTTTTGAAGTGATTTTATACTGTTATAATAGAGAAATTAAACTTTATTAGTGAAAGTTTTAAGTGAATGACTTTAATATTTAGTTCATTGCAGATAGGGAGCATATATTTATTACAGTATCTCACAGCATGACCATTGTGATAGGTACTTTGAAGAATTTTGCAAAATAGCATTAATGGTGCTTCAAGTCCATGGGTGACACATGCTTGGCTTCTTATCAAAACGTTGGAAGCTTGAGCCCACCCAGCTTTATCTAGGAAGAAAGGCCTAGCAATCTGCTTCAAGAAAATCAGCCACTGAAAACCAAACTCTGACACATAGGGTTTCTATTAGTCAAAATTGATGGCAACTGATTGTGTACTTACTGAAGGATGCTACAGATAAGATAAGGCAAAGCAGTACACACTCAACCCACGAATAGCACGTCCATTAAGCAGCAGAAGCAGTCAGAAGCAGGGGAAAGATACAGAGATGACATGAAACTGATCAGTGACTCTTATTTAGAAAAGTGTGACTTAATATTAGAGTTTAAATACGAATGATTGATGGTGGTGGTTATGTGCCGTGGAGTCGGTTCTGACTCAGTAGCATTTTCCAGAACCATTTGAATTGCAAATGTCAAAAACTTAAACTGTTTTAAACAAGAGAGGTACAAACCAACACACTGCATCATGGTGATTCTGACTCGTTGTTGTTGTTATGTGCCGTTGAGTCAGTTCTGATTCATAGCAATCCTGTATAGGGTTTCTGAGGAGCAGCTGGTGGGTTTGAAACCCCAACTTAGTGGTTAGTAGCCCAATGCCTGACCCACACTTCTAACAGGGCTCTTTGATGGAGGTATGTAGTTGTTAAATGCCATCAAGTCATTTCTGACTCATAGTGACCCTATACAAGATTTCCGAGGAACCGTGATTGATTTAGCTTTTAGTCCAGTAATTGAACTGGGCTTAGGCTTGCTTCATTCAGGTGTTGAAATAGGACTCTTGTCTTTCCCCCTATTTCTCAGTTTTGCTTTCCTTCCTGGTGTTTTCATTCTCAGGTAGGCTTTCCATGTGTCATGGTAAAATGGTCACCTAGTAGTTTTAGACTTCTACTTTATCTGCTTAGTAACATAAGCAAAAGTAAAGGTCTGTTTTCCCTAACAGTTTCAAAAGAATCCTGAGGCTAAGTGACCTATCTGGCCTTGAGCTAATTACTATGGCCAAGGGACTGTTGTTCTCTCAGTGGCTAAGCCTGATTCCAGGGTCCCGCCTTTGGAGGACACAGTGGACTGAGAAGGAGGCAGAAGGGATATTAACCAAAAGTGAATTGGGATATTTTTACCAGAGGAGTAAATAATTATTCTTATTGTTTTTAAGACTTTTATATATCTGGATACATTGTAAGTCATATATAGTGAATGAATGAGTACATTTGAAAAATGTTTTCAACTCGGGTAAAAAGAGGGTCTCAAAAATATTGAGAATGTTTTTGTTCAGCTTTTTAGGGTTTTGGGTGATAAAATTAGATTAGAAGAATTAAAGGATATTTTTTCTACTGGTCTACAAATGAATTATGAAGTTTTGTTGATGTTTAGGTTAAGTAGAGTCTTCCCTGCCCAACTCTAATACAAACCTATATAAATTATTTTCCCATGAAATGGACTATTTTTCTTTATTGTGGTAAATGCAAGTATATATGTTGTTACGTGCCATCAAGTCGGTTCTGATTTTATAAGTACCCTATATGTAACTACGCAACAGAAGCAAACGCTGTCCAGTTCTGTGCCTTCCTCACAGTGGTTGTTAACATCTGAGCCCATTTCTGCTGCCACTGTGTCAATCCATCTTGTTGGGAATCTTCCTCTTTTAACTGACACTCCATTTTACCAGGCATGATGTCCTTCTCCAGAGACTCGTCCCTCCTAAATAACATGTCCAAAGTAAGAGAGAAGTCTCACCATCCTGGCTCTAAGGGGCTTTCTGGCTATACTTCATATATATATACGTATATATACGTGTATATATATATACACGTATGCGATGAAACACCTGAAATTTACTTTTTCAAAACTACATGGATCATAACCATGGAAAGACCCGTACAAAGAAGTTTTACCAGGTAGTAGTGTCAGCATATGAATATTGCTTTCTTAGAACAATTGTTATTAGGATTTTACTTAAATGAAAAAACACTCCTGCATAGCTCTAGATCAGGCGTTGCCATAGTTTTCCTGTAAAGGACCAGATAGTGAAAAGTTTAAACTTTGGGTGTCAAGAGGCAAAGCCGACGCTATTATTTATACTTCATCTAAAAAGAAAAAACAAGTTTCTACAAATAATGAAATTCAAAATATATTAATAATTGAGTATAGATTTTTATAATACAGGTCTAATGTTAAGAGTTATATTATTTAGGAGGGAATATTTAATGTAATCTCTATTAAAAATTGATAATATTCACCTGTTAATGCTGATCTGTAATTTAATTTTACTTACTCCACCTTTGAAAATGTCTTCACCAATAGATAATATCCGAAAACTATTATTGGTCAATGATTGTATGATTTTAATTGTATTGATATAATTCTTCTAGGTTCAGTTGTTACTTGCCTTTTGACATGTCATTCTTTTGCATATTAATCACTTCTAGTTGAAAATTAAGTGATGCTTCTCAGTTAGACAGTTAAATGGACTTTGAAATGTGGAAATTTTCTTTGTACTTGCATTGAGGTCCAAAAATGTGATTGAAATTAGTTAAGTTTGGAAAATAGATCCACTAAAAGTCTGCATGGTAATGAAAATCTTGCTTTGTGTTTTAACATGTTAGGTGCTAATTTTGTAGTAAGTTCAAACTCAGCATTGACTCAAGTAAAAAACAACTAAGTAGTATTGGTACTATCTATTGGCTCATCAAAAGCCAAGACAATCACACGGACTTATTTGCCTTGAGTTTTAATTGACTCTAGTTTTAAAAGATTTGACTTTTAAAGGACTTAACTTTTCCAGCAACTGTTCTTGCTGAAAGTATTAAATTTATTTTCTCCAGAAACCCTTTCTGGCTCCTGCAATCAAACACTATTTAATTTACTCTTAACTCACTATCAGTAAATAACTGTTCCTTGCTTGAATAGCAAATGAGCACTCAGAAAGTGACTTGGGTTGCACACTTGTTTTTATTTTTTACTTTGGTGAATAAACTGTTGTGATTAGATACTCTGTTTTGAAATGTTTTATTCTTCTGATTGTTCCTCTTCTATTTGGGAATATTGTGATAAAGGCTTACTCTGATAATGTTGAAATATATTGTATTAACATCGTTACCGTGTCATCGCATAATAACTATAATGCTTTGACATCTAATTGTATAGCAAAATAATCCATACTCCACTGTGCCTTAAAAAGCATAAAACTCATAAGTCGCTTCTCTGGTTTTTGACATGAGAGGTAGTGGCTGTGTACTGTGGAGTTGGTTCCGACTCATAGCGACCCTGTACAGGGTTTCCGAGGCTGTAAATCTTACGGCAGCAGGAAGCCTCATCTTTCTCCTGCGGAACAGCTGGTAGTTTCGAACTGCAGTTCACAGCCCGATTTGTGACCAGTATGCATGAGTATGTACTGCTAATAACAATAAAATGTTGCCATATGTTGTTATCTGTGGCACTTGAGATGCTGAGTTACAACTGCACCAGTGAAATTTGTAATGTGTTCAGCAGCAGTGCAAAGCAATGAAAGCACTGCATGTGGTTTCTGTGACAACTATTCAGCTTTGCCTTTGTACCCCGAAAGCAGCCGTAGATAATATTTTCATCCATAGCATGACTGTGTTCTAATAAAACTTGATTAATGAACACAGAAATTGGAATTTTATATACATTTTATGTCAAAATATTACTCTTAATTTTTAAAAAGTTATCTCAACATGTGGAAACTCTTCTAATCTCCATAGCCATCCAAAGATAGGAGATAGACTAGCTATTCTGTTCTAGGCAAAATTGGGAAAACTTTAGCATTTGAAGTCAGTTATTTCTCATCTATTGAGTTTACCAATAGACGACCTGTCTTCTCTTTATTAAAAAGAAGGGACATTTTGAAATAGCATCAAGAATTAAGATACACTTTTTTTTTTTTAATGCTGCATAGCACATATAGAAGTTAGAAATAAAACATATAAGTCTGGCTCTCATCTGCCCTTAGATGTTCAAACTGTGAGGGGCGGGGCTTATAAAAAACATGAATTTGGGTATCAGGCAAATTTGATTTGAATCCCAGCTTCATTATGAGAATTGTGGAAAATTATTTAATTTCATAGCATCAGCTTCCTCATATCAAATTGGAGATGGTGCCTACTTTGCAGCATGGTTCTGAGGACTAGCAATAATATTTATAATAGCTCTCAATCAATGTTACCTGCTGCCATATTACCCTTACAGTACAATTTAAAATGGAGCAACACCTTGATTCCTCATGCAGTATGGGTACTTTTGCTCTTGAGACAAGAATAAGACCTGGTGTTTACTAAATGTTATCTTAAATTGAGACCATTATTCTTACCTGTTTAATACATATTGGCTATCTTTTCTCACTTAATGTCATTGATAAATTCAAGATAATTAACTCTGTATTTACATTATTTAAAATGACAGAGAGTGAGAGCAAAGCCCTGTGTCAAGTCACTGTGATCCTATAACATATAAGTGTTCTCTCTGGTTTATGATAACCTTTTACCACCACTTGAATACTATAGCTATTATATGCTTTGCTGAAATCCAGGATAAAAAAACAAAAACTTATTTCCTTGCCCTACTGTTCATATTATTTTGTCAAAACATGGAATTGTTGTTAGGTGTCATGAAGTTAGTTCTGACTCATAGCGACTCTATGCATGTCGCAGGGTGTTAATGAGTCTCCTATCCTGAGGCCACAGTTTTCTTATAATCCATTTCTAAAATTATTTGCTCAGCATACAGATTGAGTAAGTATGGTG